AAACCACAATGTGGTCTTGTGTTCACCACTCTTCCATTATCGGAAGAGAGCTGGTCACACGACCACTCGCTGATTCCTCCGATGTCGTCGTGTCGTGTGCAAAACTGGCTCAGGCATTCGCCAATTGCCGGCGCGGCGCGGGGTCTGGCAGAAGCCCATGGCGATTGCTGGCAAGAGTGGCGCAACTGGCGAATGGTATGTCTTCATGCTCGGAGGCGAGAAAGGTTCCACAGTGCAACTACAGATCGAGATGATAGCAGTGACCTCAGATCCCACTTCCCCGGAGCTTTCTCCTTGTCGTTGTGTATCCCAGCTTCCTCCGCCTCGCTGAGGGTACAATGCCCTTCCGAACATTATTAAGTTGATCTGGGTCATAGACCTGGATTTTTTCGTCGATCAGAGAATATAGGTCATGTTCGCCTGCGTACTCAAGTTTGTTGATAGCTTGAGTATAGGGGAGGCAGCTAATGCTGGGTTGCGTGAGAGACTTTACCTCAGATAATGTGCTCAGAGTCTGGACTATGCCTGACCCTTCCGAGTTGCGCCAGCAATCGCCATTCGCTGTCGCTGCGCCAAGTGGTGCGCGCCAATCGCCGCGGCTGGCGCGGTTGGGCGCAGTTTTGCCTTTCCAACAACTCTACCGTGCCGCCCATCCGCTAACCAACCCCCGACCACACAGCTGGCGCGTCACCGAAATCAGCCAGATCCTCCTCGTCCTCCTCGACGCGCGCTGCCCGCTCCTCCACTACCCGCCCGCGCTCGCCGCGCACCTCGCGACCGCGCCCATCCGCACGATCCTCGTCCTCACCAAGGTCGACATCGCCGGCCCCGCGCGCGCCGACGCGTGGGCGCGCTTCCTCCACGCGCGCTTCCCCGGTGTGCGCGTCGTGCAGGCCGAGGCCTACGCGCACGGCGAGCCGGAGGACGCGGAGGCGGGCAAGGGCAAGGGCACGTCCGCGCCGCGCCTCCCACGCGCGTTCCGCGAGACCCTTGTGAGCGCGCTGCGCGACGCGCACGCCGAGCTGCTGCAGCCCCGGGGGGACGTCCAGGACGACCCGGAGAGGGAGTGGGAGTGGAACCCGCGCGTGCGCCGCGAAGTGGACTGGGAGCAGGTGCTCCACGTAACGGATGCGCAGGCGGGTAGTGTCGTGAGCGGCGCTGCGGCTCCTCGCTCGCACCGGGATGCCCCCGACGAAGAGGCGGGGACGGAAGGCAAGCGCGAGGAGAATGACGAGGACCCTGAGTTCCTCACGATCGGGCTCATCGGTACGTGCTGACACAGGCCATGCCTCGCGGCTAAATCGAGTTCTACACAGGCCAGCCTAACGTCGGAAAATCATCTCTACTGAATGCGCTGTTCGGCACGCACAAGGTGAAGGCATCAAAGACCCCGGGAAAGGTTCGCGTCCACGAATGCCACATGCCTGCCACTCATCATTGACGGTCTTCGCGCAGACAAAACACTTCCAAACGCTGTTCTGGACACCCGAGGTGCGCCTCGTCGACTGCCCCGGGCTCGTCATGCCCAACTTTGTGCCCAGGTGCGTCCCTCGATGACGGCCGGTGAGACCGCACGCGCCGCCGCTCAGAGCTGTTGCGTGTCCGTGCCCTGGTTGCGACGCATTGATCGTGATTGTGCGTCTCCTCGCGCGGCCCGCGTAATATTGATATACCCCTCGGCCGATCGCTTGGTTGTCGAGACTGATGCTTGCCACGGTCTCGTGAGTGTGCGAGAAGAGACCGTGTAGAATTGAGGAGATAGGACAAGGCAAGGGGAATAGAGAGTGGTGGGGAATAGAGAGCAGCGGGGAGTAGAGAGCGGTGGGGAATAGAGAGCGGTGGGGAGTGCAGAGTGGCAGGGAGTAGATGACAGTGCGGTAGTCGAGTCGTACAAGGTAGGGCAACAAATATATTTCAAGGCTTATTGCTACCCATACAGTCTCGTCTAATGCTGTCCCCGCTGCCCCGCCCATCGCTCTCTCCTCGCCCGCCATCGTCCCGCCACTGGCATACTTCATCCTTGTGCGCGCGTCTGTACAGCCCGGTCAGCGTGCTCCGCGGACGCCTCGAGCACGCGGAGGGCGTCCTCGATCTCCTGGATGGTACCGAGCGACGCATGGTGTGCACGCCGAGAGCGGAAGAGGGCGGCGATCTTGGCGGCGACAGCGGGGGAGACGGCAGGCTTGCGTTCGAGTTTGGCACGCGGAGCCGGCTCTGACGACTCAGACTTAGCGTCCGCGACGTTGACAGGCACGGGGGTGGCCGCAGCTGCGCTCGCAGTCTGGAAAGAAGGCGATAAGTGACTGTATGTGAAGTCGCTTGCGCATCGCAAAAGCACGCGCTGTCCCCGGTCAGCGCGGTGTGACCGAGGCTAGCATTCGTCGCGCGTCGGGGCTGGCATTGGCCGGGACGCTGCGCTACAACATCCGGGTCAGACCGGCTAACAAGGACGGCAGACCGCAACACCGTATGCTGACCGGGCGCGCAATGCCACGTGTTGCCACTGTGCGCGTTCGCCCTTGCGCCTGCAAGCACGGTCAGTATTCCGCGCGCACGCACTCCGCACCATGTCCGCATGCCGGCACACCGTGCATGGTCAGCTTGCCGCCTCGAACCGTCCCCGCGCGACACTCTTGTGTATGTTGCGGGGATGCGTATTGTGCCCGCTCAGTCCTGCATCCCGCACATTGCACCCCGCAAGTCATTCTGGTCCGCGCGCACTGCGTACCACACTCTTGTAGGCCACGCAACACTTCAGTCTACGCTTCAAAGCCACCGCTCGATGTCAGTACGACCGCAAAAAAGCAAGCCCGAACTTACTGTTGCAATACGATCCCCTTGACGCAACCCGCATATGGCCGAGCCCAGATCATAGCCATGCACCCGACGCTCCCGTGTCCAACCCGCTGCGCTGATGTCTACCGCCACCGGTCATTCCAACGGCCCACGCCTGTGCACCTGTTGACCACGTTCCCGGCTGATGTCCAGCGTACGTGCGCAATCCCATACTCTTGATGGCCAGTGAAGGTAAGGCGACCCAGACGTCCCGGGCGCGTGCCTTGTAGTCACCTAAACGAGACTATCAACATCTTACCAGCCGCACCATGCAGGATTCAAACTCACCTCGCCGAATGTGATACGTTCGATGTGCTGCACCGCATCTCGCATTGCACCCTCGCCACTCGTGTGGAAGTCGAACTTGGCAGCAGCCATCCAGGATGCTCTCTAACACCGGGTCTGATGTCTTGTCCATTGCCAGTCAGGCTGAACTTGTTCAGCCCATCTTCATTGTTGATGTGCGGAGCCCGCTCAAGACATTCACGATGGGTCCTCTTGAGCGAGAAGGTGGCGGTGGTAGGAGGATGTGACTGTCGACTGTTGCATCCTGATCAAGATCAGCGCTGATCGATCATGGCCCTCGGTCAACATGCGTACCTCGCCCAGCCTCCACCATCTTGCTCATGGCCTCGCAGAGCATCTCATCACCATCCCTGCTCTCGTTCATGTCGCTACCGGATGCAGCAACCCATCGCAGTGAACCTGGCAAGGCCTCGTTAATGACTGGGGACATAAGACAATAATGGCCATGAAACTACTTACTCGGAAGCTAGAGACATGGTTGCAGTCGTCATTCGGAGCGGAGTCACTGACAGAAACAGAGAGGGATGAACTCTGGGCAGAAAGGCAACAAAGTGTAACAAGGGATGTAGCGGGGAAATCATCGGAATGTAATTGCACATCACTTATATATAGACTTGGCCAGACAGCGCGGGCAGAATCCCTGATGTGTTGTGCCCATACACTATTCTCATATGTAATTTGATACCTTTTCTGGAATTGTGACTGTTGTCATGCTGCTTATTTTAGAATATCAACCGTGATGGCGCCCCTCGCAACAATGACAGAATGTGTAAGTGCATTCACATGCCAAAGCTGTATTTGGCAACTCCGCCTACGCTTGCATATGCTTCGGGGAAAGTCAGACAAAAACATCCTTCCGGTAGTCTCATGCTCAGCCTTGATGGTTGGATTGATTGCTGCGGCTGGTGCATTCGCACCCCGATGCGACGCGCGCAAGAAGGCAGGGACAACGCCACCGCATGAGCGTCATCCATGGCGCGCTGCCAGTTATGCTCTGCTGACAATGTTATTGGTTGAGCTTCTACGGACGTGCGGGCAGGTCAGGCATGCATCCTCAGGTACGCCGCGCATCAGCTCATTACCGTTGACGCATGAGGCACTGATGACACCGCCCGGTAGAATGTCACGCGAGACTGGTATGGACAGCCTGACCCCCGCCGGGTGTGCACATGGAGCAGTCTACGACGCTGCGTATTGTGTCCTGGACGCAGGATATCGGCGCGGCGCATTAGTGCTGGGTGTGCTCCGCGTGCTTGCGAGGATGCGAGGATAGCGCAGGAGTATTCTGCACGGTACACTGCCCGGCGAGTTTGTGTTGTGCCCGGTGGGCAGCACGATGACATAAGAATATGCAGGCGACATTATGACACGTACTACATACCTACTGTGTAGCTAAGACAATGCCAGCGCTGGTAGTGTGCGCGGCGGCAAAATAGAACCGCGGCGGCGGCAGCAGCATGGTAGACGAGCGCGCTAAGGGAGGACATGCCGAGCGTGGCTGTCGAGCGACGGCGGCCAATACGAAGATATCAGAGGGATGCGGCATGCGCGCAGGAGCGTGTTGCAAGGGGGTGCCAGGCGATCAGCTCTCAGCCAACGCGGTTGACGTCAGTGCATCCTCTTCACACTCGCCATTTTCTGTCCCGCTGATCTGTCCGTGCATGCTGCTTCTCCGTCCTAGCGTGTCCATATCCCTGCATGTCATTCTCTCGCTCGTGTCTGCGCTGCTGCCATGGTAAGCATTTGTATCATCTTCGCATTTCCCACTGACCGCTGACCGTGCATACCCACGCAGCGCGCGCGGCGTCCGGTTGCTCAGTCTACGCCCGCTACCGCCTCGCTCACGCTGCGCTCTGCATGCCTTGGTGAGCCATGCCGCTTGCGATGTCCATGTGCTATCTACTGACCTCCCGCGATGTCCGCCGTGAGGACTCGCTGGATGGCGGTGTCGCCGCCCGCTAGCAGGAATCTGTGCGCGCGGCGCCCAGTCTGATCGTCTGGCGTGCAAGCCCCGTGAGCACTTGACCATCGCAGTACGCCTCCGCCCGTTGTGCTTATGCTAGCCCACGGCCCGACACAAGGTCTGTGAGCCGCATCACAGGCAACGGCTGGGTCTTCGCAACGGCGCGATAGGCAGACGGCTGTTGACGGAGGGACTGCCATGACGGCGGGTGTGCGAGGTCGGACGGAGGCCTTCATGTACAGTATCTAGCTGTGTATGTAGCACCGAGAATCAAGCGTCGGAGGAGGCGGGGCCTACAAGCCGGCGCTCTCGCATGGTCCGTGTCTGCCTGCTCGCCGGTCATCTCTCCGTACCGTGTGTGCTATGCAGCGCGTTCCCGTGCTGACGGGGCACTGGCGCGGCGGCACCCACGCTGTTGAGGCTGCAGAGAGCGAAGGAGGCGCGTCCGCTGATCGCGTGCGGGAGACACGCGTGTCGCGCCATCTCGTCTCGGCTCCTCTCGCGGTCGCCTCGACGCTGACGTCCGATGGCTTCTAGGCTGGGAACACTCGGTACGCCATCATCTTGCTGTCTGATCTGACCGACGGCGCGCCTGACCCCGTCGTGCTCTATAGCCTCGCGCACGGGCGCTGGAGCAGACGGACGGGCACCGTCAGCCCCTCCTGCGGTCGGGGTGTGCACTGCGCGTCGCTCTAGCACCCGACACGATGCACGTGCCCCGCCCCCAGGATCCAGCGGAGGCACGGGTGCAGCAGCACCCCGCTAGAGCGCGTGGGGAGCTCGTGAGGGACATTCCGAGATGACGGCAGGCCGGCGTGCGTCGTGAGGGGAACGGCATGTCGCGCGCATCCGTGAAGGCCAAGATGCCGATCAAGGAGCGCGGGGCGGTGCGAATAACGGTGGCAGGCACGCGAATGCGTACGCGCGGGCACGGATACGGCATCGATTGCGCGGGGATGCTGCGTGCGATGCGGGCGACGGACGATGTGGGGGTGTTGCAGCCGGTAGATCTAGAGCGTGCGTGCGTTGGTGAGTGCGTCCGTCCGCGTCAGGCAGAATGACCACTTACATCTGGGCCCAGGTACGCGGGCGGGGACGCGGGGAGCTGCCGTCATGACCTCGGGCGACGCGGCAGCCGATGCGAAACAAGGGCCACGCCTGGGTAAGACGACCGGGCGGCAGTCGTGGGAATGGCGACGGGTCGGGAGGAGCGTGCGAGGGATTTAAAGGCGGGCGTCGTCAGAGATTCCGCCGTGTTTTCCGACGCGTCTTCCACTGTGCACGTCTTGCGTCTTGCTCGCCCGCTGTCCAGGCCGAATTGTGCGGCGCGGATGGACGCGGATGAGGTAAGCTGTCGTCGTGTTGCGGAATCATATATCCTGTTGCTTACCGTGCACATTACTGTAGGTGTGCTGCAAGCCATTCCCCTGTGCAGCGCGCATCAGTCTATCTCGCCAGATCATACCACGTATCGAGTGCCGTGAGGTGAGTGCTGCGCGCGTGCAATGACGGCGAGCTGACGGGGCTGATGGTGTTCAGGGATGGTGTCGATGAGGTGCGGGAGCGCATGGGACCATCGCCGCGGCTGGGCAGACTGAGCGAGGCGGGCGGTCGGCAGTAGCTCGCTGAGAATCAGTGGTCCGCGGTCGCGTGGAAGCTGACGGCTGGCCGGTCAGAGTGTTGCGTCCCGCATCCGCGCCGACTGGTGAGTGACCGGCCATGGTCTCTGACTGCAAACGCTTACCGGGATGTGCGATGTGTAGGGGTTCGCGTCTTGCCGTGTGCACGTCACGGCGAGCTGGCTTGCGCAAGTCATCCCGCTGCGACGATGCGGGTCCTCGCCGCGACAATAGCAGCGGGAGGATGCAGTCGCAGTTGGGTCGTGGTGTAAGTACCAGGTTGTTGGGCTGCGGGGCTGCGAGTGTAGCGGGGCGCGAGGAACAGGATAGTGGGACCCGTGTGCCTGTAGGTAGATAGTGACCAGGGAGTAAGGAACGACCGGCTGGGTATCGAGAGCGATGCCCGCTTATTGAGAGCAAGTGTCGCAGAGCCTGTGATCGCTCAGCTACGGCAGGTCGCCCGATAAGCGGATATGATGTGCGATATATAGGTGAGCGTGTCTCACCGTCTGCACTTCACAGCGGGCTGGGTTGCACGAGTCATCTGGCCAGCCTCGCGACGATGTGGATGGCCTGTGCTCTAGCCGCCGCTCTGGAGGACTGGCGGCGGTTGGACGTAGTCGTGGTCGGGGGCAGTCGTCTAGATGCAAGGCTGTCGGGCTGCAAGCGCGGCGGAGCGGGATGGGTTGTGGACATGTAGCGGGAGCTCGTATGTCTGTGATGTGTGCTTGCGCTTGACCACCTCCGCGCTCTCCAGCCCACCGTGCGCGTAGGCGTCGGCCTGCGCAACGCGCACGCCGTGGAAGCGCGCGCGGAGGGAGCGCACCCACGCGTCGGCGCGCGCGCGGGCTGCGATGTTGACCTTGGTGAGGACGAGGGTCGTGCGTATGGGTGCAGTGGCGAGGTGCGCGGCGAGCGCGGGGTGGTGGTGAAGCAGCGAGCAGCACGTGTCGAGGAGGACGAGGAGGCAGGGGGATGGTGACTGAACGGGCGGTGCGTAAAAAGAATGGAAGTGAGACGCACAGTTGACGCCATACTTCGAGGTTGCGCTCGAAAGAGCCTGCGTCCTGCGTGTGATTCTGTCTTGTCCCGCGCCGCGCCCGTGGTGCTGGCATTGAGTGATCGATCTTCTGTTCATGTCTGTGCGCGCAGAGTGTACGCGCTGAGGCTGGCTGCCGGTCCTCGTATCCTCGACGGCGGTCGGATGCTGCCTAGAGCAGGTCGTCGTCTGTCGCACGCGCGCACGCCATTGCGCGCAGCGGACGCTGCCTTGGCTGTGAGGGAGCGGTCGCGTGTCGCAGATGTCAGAGAGAGGCTGAAAGCAGCGGGGGGATGCGGGCGTGTTCACGAGAGCAGAGACGACGCGGACGCGAGACTGAGCGACGCGAGACGCGCGATCATGCACGATCGGCTATACAGCGCGTCTATTCGGGCAATGCGCTTGCACCAGGATGCGTCCGCGCTGAGGGACAAAGACAGGAAGCGTGTGAGATGGCAGCGCGCACTGACAGGATAACATGATTGGGAGCCTCAGCGTCACGCGCAGCCACACGCGGGGTCGAGCGCGATCGAGATCAGAGGCGCGATTCCCGACAGCCCGGCCGAGCTCTGGCGAGATACGATCGTCTCTACCTCGCATATCAAATTCGCCTCATCCTCATACCCTCACACGCATATTGCACACACACCTCATCCATGCCTCGTCGCATTCCATTTTCCCCAAAGAAAAAGAGGGACCAGATCCTGGGCAAGCGCGCACAAAAGCGCGGCGACACTGAGCTCGCACCCGACCCCCACGACCCCGGCCGTGCTCGCAAAGGCACGAAGAAATCCACCCGCGCTGCCGGCTCTTCTCGCCGGCTTCAGTCCTCTTTCGTCAAGCTTCCTACTCCCTTCCTCGAGCACACCCGCGTCCTCGCATCCACCCTGCCCCTCGGCCGACCGATTTCGACCGATGCCGCTGTCTTGCAGGAGCACTGGGACCCTCTCGAGGGCGCACCCCCTCTGACGTGCCCCAAGCGACCCAGGTGGCGGTATGACAGTGTCGAAGAA